TTTTATTTATAGAAATTTTTAATACTATTTGTTTGTTATGTAAAGTTTAAGATAATAATGATTATTATTTTAATAATTAGTTATAATACAATAATTAAATTTTTATTTTTTCTCCTTGACAAATATGAAGAGAGATAATATCATTTAAAATAGTTTTATTAATTTTATTTTTTAAAATTAAAATTACACACTTAAAATGATATCTTTTAGAGAAGTTATTATGCTTTTAATATGATAAATATATTAAAACTATTTTTTAAAATTGCTGAAAAATAATTTTAAAGTTAGATTAACACTAGTATTTAAAAAAGAAAAAATTTAACTTGTACATCTTTGCACAAAATAAACTCTAATAAATATATCATTTAATTAATAAGAGAAAATAAAAAATAATTTTTTAAAAAAATTATAATAAAATAATTAATATAAATTAACTAAATAATAGATTTATTGAAATAACTTGCACTAATTAATTTGAAACCAATAACTTACCCATTATTAATTAAAAAATAGATTTTTTAACCTGTGCAACCTTGTGCAAGAAAAATTCCAATAAATATACTATTTAACAAATCTGTATTAATTGTTTTATTATGGTTTTTCTAAAAAAAAATTATTTTTTACTCTCTCCTCATTAATTAAGTGGTGCATTTATCATAGTTTATCCTGTGCAAAGTTGTATAAGTTAGAAAATTTCATTAAAAAATACCCTTAAAATATTTCTATTAAGGGTTGATGTATTTTCTTAAAGTTAATTTATTTATTGCAGTTATACACAAACTAAAACAATAATCTCTTATATAATTGTGGTTGATGGCATCGTGCAAACAGTATGTAGTACCATACACACTGCAATTCTTAAAGAAACACGTACAATGCATTCTTAAAATATTTGTTAATTAATTGGATACTTTATATATCTTTAATTTATTATTATTTTTAATTAATATAATATAACAACGTGTTAAACACACTTAAAGGATTAGTCCAAAAGACTTACAAGAAAAATAATAAAAACTTCTGTAATATTCTTCTCTTCTCTTGTCCAAAAGACTCATTCTATTTTTCTCTCTTTCTTAAAAAGTTTCTCCAGTATTCTCCCTTGAAAACTGCTCCTGTCGTGGTTCCCTCAGCAGAGGAATTGATAGATTACCCTGAGAAGGTTAAGAAAATCATGTTGATATATAACTATTTTCGACTATGAAAGTCTAACTTGACCAGACATAGTAGTTACAAACCTAATGAGAGGGCAAAACTTATGACTGAATAAAGATGTAAAAATTATTAGGACAATACCTACGATTATGGTTGGAGATTCGTAAAAATTATATATATATATATATATATATATATAATACTCTTAATTAGTATACTTACAATAGTTATTCATAGTTTTTTTTTTAATTTTAAGTGTTAACAAAATATATTAACAATAATGTACTTTTAGTTGCCAAATAAAATAATATTATATGAATTTAATTTTAATATATTTTTGTGTAAATTTTTTTATAGTATAATATATTAAAAATCATAAATAAAATTTGTAAATTTAACAAATTTCAATTATATGACATTTTTTAATTAGATAATGATAGAAAAAAAAACTTTAAACTATCAGCATGTTTTATTTAAATCCATATTATATTTAAAAGTTATCTTTTAAAGTAATATCACCTTTTTATTTGTCTATTTTTTTAAAAAAAATATTTTTTTATCTTTTAAAAACTTAAGATAAATTTTAACATATTATTTTTTTTATTTTTATAAATTTATCAAAATGAAAAAATACAATACATTAAAAATAAAAATTTTCATGACAAATAAATAAAATTAATTATGATTTATACTTTGAATATTACTTCTATTTTTATTGTTTTATTTATAGAAATTTTTAATACTATTTGTTTGTTATGTAAAGTTTAAGATAATAATGATTATTATTTTAATAATTAGTTATAATACAATAACTAAATTTTTATTTTTTCTCCTTGACAAATATGAAGAGAGATAATATCATTTAAAATAGTTTTATTAATTTTATTTTTAAAAATTAAAATTACACACTTAAAATGATATCTTTTAGAGAAGTTATTATGCTTTTAATATGATAAATATAATAAAACTATATTTTAAAATTGCTGAAAAATAATTTTAAAGTTAGATTAACACTTTAGTATTTAAAAAAGAAAAAATTTAACTTGTACAACTTTACACACATAATAAAATTTAATAAATATATCATTTAATTAATAAGAGAAAATAAAAAATAATTTTTTTAAAAAATTGTAATAAAACAATTAATATAAATTCATTAAATAATACATTTATTAAAATAACTTGCACAGATTAAAAAATCCGTTTAAAAAGTAAATAGAAAAGCTAATTTTTACTGTGTGTCTCGTCCATGTCTCAGTTTAGAGTGTACGATTCGTGGCAAGATGTCTAAAATTGTTGACACCACTCCTCCATCCTTAAGCTGACACGTGGACTTGTTTTTCACTGAGCGATCTTTCAAAGCCAAGTGGGGGGTTGGGTTGGCACAGAAAACCTAGCTTCCCTGTATAATCTAAAACCGTTAATCTTTTCTTAAATGTTTTTTTAATTATACAATAAATAATATTTTTATTAAAATTATAATATTTAATATTATGAATGTATAAATTTTTAATTTTTAGTAAAGATTAATAATTTTGTTTTATTCTTTTTATCAGAAGCACTGGAAATTCATCGTAACAATGTCTTTAATTAATATGAAGTTGATAGTTGTGACAAAATTGAGAAATTAATTAAAAATTTATTTTTATTTAGTTAACAATAAAGTATTAAAAACATTATACTATGCATTTTTAAAATATTCATTAATTAATTAAATACTTTATATATTTTTAATTAACAGAATATAATAACGTATGAAACACGCTTAAAAAATTAACTCAAAAGATAAAAACAAAAACTTCCAAAATTTTCTTTTCTTCTCCCTCCCAAAAACCCAACAGAGCAGAAGCTGGGATCCAACCAAACAGCAGAAGCAGGTAGGTATGTGCATTTTATGTAATCTAAAACCATTAACCTTTTCTTAAATGTTTTTTTTAATTACACAATAAATAATATTTTTATTAAAAAATTATAATATTTAATATTATGAATGCATAATTTTTTTATTTTTAGTAAAGATTAATAATTGTATATTTTTAAGCTGACATTAGAAAAATAATGAAAGCTCCTTTTTTGTGTAAACAAAATGTTGTTATCTTACTTAGTAGTTGCTTTGCTGTTACTTTTCCAAATTCCCAGTTGCGAGTTTTCAACACTTTCATTGATTTTTGGTTTTTCGGTTCTATTTAGGTTGTAAAAAGTGAAAGTTAGAAGCATGATAAGCAGTATCTTTGCAGTCCTTGTCTGGACTCCTGCATATATCATAGCCAGATCGATCTTTGTCACATCACCATTTCTTTTTAATTTTCTTTTTCAGTATATCAAATTTTAGGACAACATACTGCCTCTTTCCAAACTCAGTAAAATGACTGAATTCTAAATTTATTTATAAAAAAATATTTTATTTTTAATTTTGAAATTTATCATGTATGAAATCTTATTTTATTCCATTCAATTAATTTTTAAATTTTTTAATAAATATTATTACTCAATACTGTCTTAAAAATTATCAAATGTGCAGATAAATATTTAATTATTTTGAGTATAACTTTCATTTTTCTATAAACTAAATCATGTTAATTGGCATTTTCTTTAAGATCTAGTTAAACAATTAGTTATGACTTAATTTTTATAATATAAATTTACATTAACATCCTTTGTTACATATATAGTATTAACCTATAAGATATATTCACACATATCAAATTGTTTAAAATCTTTAAAAATAGAATTCAAATGATTGGGCATCCACCCATTATCTTTTAACTCATTTTTGGTAATTTTTTTAAATGATAGATAATATTTAAATTCATTACAAACTTTGAATATATCATATTTTATTTATAACTTTGTGCAATGCATGATTTGCTGATTTAGTTAATATGTGAAAATCCCCAACTCTGTCATATCATAAATAGTTGGTAAATAGACATTTAACAAAGTTTTAGGCCAGGTTAAGGACGTTGTAGATAAATTACTTATTTAAATAATTGCCAATTGCCTTTTAATTTTTTATAAAGTAAAAAAATGTAAAATAGTTTAATTCGAAAATCTATAACTCTTTCAACCAAAATTCCACTTCACTCTGTTAATTTAACTTATCATTTTTTAATAAAATAACAAAATATAATAAAAAAGAAATAATTTTAAATTTTCACAATAATAAATAGTTTAAAGAAATGTTAATCTCAATTTTTAGACTTGAAATTAAGCAACTAAAAATGATAATTTTTTATTAAAAATACACTTATTATATAAAAATATATAATTTATTATTTATTAAAATAAAAAATTATTATCTTTAAACGTTTAAAATCAGTTTAGGCTGAGATTAACAATATTAAATAACTTAAACAAAAGGACTTTAGATTAAGTATTATTTGGATCCCAATGGGTTGGTCTAACAGAGAAGTTGCATCCTAGGTGGTGCACACAGATTTGACAACTTAAATGAGAGGCATTATTATAGGTCTGAAAATAAATTCTCTGATAGGATCAACATAGGTGGATGAGCAAAGCACTTTAGCATGTCCCTTTCTTTCTATTACATCGCTAGAACAATTATTTCATCCTTTATTGGGATAACTTTTCCCAATTCTAACATGAAATATTCTAAAACTTAGCAATGCCAAAAAGGAGTGCGACTTGAAAATTTATTAAGCATGGGCTCAATTCACCGGATTTATTACATGGTAAAAATTCACAGAAAAGGTGTTGACGTTGCCCGAAGAATCATACCCGAATCAGAATGAAAGTAAAAGATAAAAAGAAAAAGCTCATAATTTGGAATTGGGTACAAATGATGACTTACTGATAAAAGCCAATAAAGCTATGTATGTTGTGCGCCCATTTCCTTATTTCCTTTTGGTTGCAACTTTCATCTTAATCAGAAAAAGAAAACACTACAACATGTTCAAAACAAAGCCATAAAATTTACTCATTAGCTTTAATGCTTCTCAGTGAAATCATTAGCTGCTACGAGAAAAGAAGCTTCATATTCGTCAGAACTTGCACATATCTTTTCTAACACAAGCAATGAATACCCATCACAGCGGTAATTCTTTAATGTTTCTGCAACAGAACAAAGAATGAATAAGAAAATTAAGTGGGTACTAATCCTTTTTGTGAAACACTAGTGCAAACATTTCTTGGTTTATTTCTACTTTATGATTCGGTCACTTTTTAGTATTCCTTGCTCAGTTGTAACATGAGTATCAATCGAAAAATGTTAACATATGCCCTTTAAATAACTTAAAAATAGTAACATTTTATTAGAAAAGAAAACATTTCTCTCCACAAAAATATAATAAATGTTATCTTATTTAATAAAAATTTATTATTTTTACATGCTTAAATTTTAAAATCAATCAAGAATTACAGTACCTCATCAATGTAATTGAGACGTTATTTGCATTTGAGCTGACAAGTCATTAGTCAACCAAATAATTGTGAGCTGCAAAACAATTTGTAGGCAAAATCAAACTCTGCAGCTGCAACAAAGAGGCATCAAGGTTTAAAAAAATAGAGACAAAAAAATTACAGAGAAGCTGAGAAAAGAAGAAGGCAAAGGTCAACCTTAATTGGGAGTGGAGAGTAACAATGTCTACATCACCGCTGGGGCTAGCATTCCCCAGAGCATTGCCCACCTACAATAGGGTGGGGACCAAACCAAGGATAAGAATAAGACATGCAAGAGATCTCAACCAAAACCTTCATTGGGAAGGTAGGCACGGTCAAATGCATTACTATCAAGAAATCTATGAAACAAATATTCCATCTATTAAATATTCCATGAACTTGTGCAAACTGAACTCACTAGCCTAAAATTCTGAAATGAATATACCAAAGAATAGACAATGTTTGTACTTATTCCATGAAATGGAACCAATGCTTAAGCCAGTGATTTCATATAGACAAAGCATGCATCTAGGAAACTACCTTGTATGGCACACTTCGATATTTTAGTTTCCTCAATTAGTCAGATTGTTCAGAGGAAATATATGTTGTAGCATTCATCAAAAGATATTCAAATCAGTGTAGCTGTAACCATGTGAATGTGGCAACAGCTCTTCTACTTCAATTCTTGAACTGGAGCAACTAGAGCATTTTTTGATTCGGTTACGGCTAAGAGACTCAACTTCTGCCTGGAACATACTATAAACTGGTCTATGATCAGAGAATCTTGATTCCCCTCGTACATAAGATAATTGACGGAGGCCTCTTCCATACCACAAGATTCGATCACACCTACATGAACAAAAATTTGGATTTAATTCACATAAACAATTATATGATTCTAGTTTCAAAACAATATTCCACAACATTTCTTTTGACAGTGGTATTATTCACTTGTTTCCTCTCTTCTCCATTTACATTCATCAATACATGTATTCATCTAGGTGATTATATTAGCGTGAAAGAAGAGTACCATGCTGGAGTTCTTCTCTTTTGTTTTGAGTGTCTTTCATCTCCTGCATATCTGTCTGAATTGTTCGAATACTTGTATGTTGGAGGGAAATATATTTTCCCCTCATTCCATCCTTCAAAGACACGGCCTTGTCTCCGCTCTATATGAAGCTGAAAGAAGAAACTATCAAATGGTCAGTGACATTATATATCATTTGAGAAAAGGAGCAACGCTCTAACATATTGTAAGGAGACAAAGTATCATGCCTGGTCATTCTCTAACAAAACCTTCCAATTACGCATCTCAACAAGAGCTTTTGCTGCACGGTAAGAAAGGGCTATCCGATAATTTAAATCCCCCAGCCAAATTATTCGACTACACCAATTAAACCACAAGTTTAGGTCTAGACCAGGGTAAAAGTTCCAAGACTTAGGAGTGAATTTTATTTAGTTTCACAATCTCCAAGCATTGGATCCATAGACTTAGGAGTGAATTTTATTTAGTTTCACAATCTCCAAGCATTGGATCCATAGAGAGGAAAGGCTTACTCGTGTTCTAGAATCGTCTGAGGAGATCTCTCATTGCCCATGCCGTGAACCCGGGGAAACCTTGTCTTTCTGAGTATCTCCATTACATCTGAATTCCTCCTTAGCTCATCACCCTCCTTTTGTCCAGAAGTCAAATGACTACATATGAAGCAAAAGCTTGTTTGGTGCAAAGACATGCTAATTGAGATTGAACCCTGGAAAAGCCAAGACAATGAGAACGCCTATAAACTAGTCTTAAAAAAAATTAAAAGTGATCAAATTTACCTTGTTTCCAAGATATCCCATCAATCCTCTGCCAACACAAGAAACTTTCATGTTGTGAACATCATCTCTTATATCACTTTTCACCCAAACTGTAAGAAATATCCCAACCATTTGCTTACTAGCAACCAAACAGTATCTTGAGTGCCCTGTGTGTCTCTCTCTGTCATCCATAGAGAAAAAACCTCTATATGACATTGGTGAATATTGTGTCGCAACTGGGGAGTCACCAGGCCCGTTTTCATCATCTGAGGAAGCCCATCTATAATTGGGATCATAGTCACTTGTCCTGTGGCCAAACATCATTCGATCACACACGCTGAGACGGCGGTCAAGGTAAGCTTGTGGCAGTGACATGTCATTGTCCATTCTCATACTACGACTCAAGGATTGGAAAGACCTGCGATGGAAAAAAGAGGTTTCCTTCTGCCTCATTGATCCCTCAAAATCAGCATCTAACTCTACAATAGGATCAGGAAGCGGCGATGTAGTGTGGCATTCACCACTTGTTCCAGGAAGACTGTTTAGGGTCTTCCTAATAAGAGCTAGCCATTTTCTGGCAGGACCATTGTCTTCTGTACCTAAAACATTTCCAGCATTGAGAGGTACAATTTCTTGAAACCTGAGTGCAAGCAAAGGTGTTTACTATTTGAGACTGAACTTTAGATAGCTCAAGGAGAGTACACATTAATCAGAAATTTACCCAAGAACATAGATATCAGAAGGTGGAGAAGTGTGAAGCCAATCTTCCAGACTCAAATAACTTGGAGGAGATTTTCCAGCTACATTCCAAGTGGCAACAAAGATTCTGTATGCAGCAGGAAGGGAGAACTCAATAGAATAACAATTATTCTAAATCATAGTACAATAATATAGACTGCAATAATTAAGCACAATGTACAACAACATGAAGCATACCTATAGTTATACACATCCGTAACCTGAGCTGCATCAGGGTCAATCTTACCTCGCCGCATTCTATCTGAGTTCCTTCTCTTTGCTCTATCTGTGCATTAAAATATAATTTATCTCTCCAAGGGATATAGTAGGAGACAAAAGAATAGCTGAATAGAGAAAAAAAACAAAAAAGCAAAAACAAAAGATTTCTGAAATTGTAGAATTACTGCATACTAAAATTCTTTTTATCTTTATCTAGGTGGGGTTTAGGAATGGTGTGGTCCTAAGAAAGAGCGAGGTGTATGAGTACTGAACCTGTTTTGCTTTTCTTGATAGTGCATTCCTCCCTCTGTGAACAGTTGCTCCTCCACTCTTCATCGACACCTGAAAAAGAAAAACCATAAAGCTAATAAAGCTGTGCTCTTTCCACTGTTAAATTTATCAAACCACACAACGAATTAAACACACAACCCCCAAAAAATATTTAAAAAAATTAAAAACGTAGCAAAAGGTAGAAACCATGGAAGGAGGAAAACAACAAACTGCAGAGTGCAGATCTTGGGTTGTGAGTTGCAGAACCATTTGAAACAAAACAAAACTTGTTACACAAAGACAAACCAAGTTCCAGAATAAGGAGAAGAATAAAAGTTTGTTAAGGATTCAGAAAAACATGTAGAAATATTATTTAACTCATGCAAGAGAAATCCCATTTGTGTTTTTGACATGAAACCATAGATTCCTAATCCCAGAGGCCTTAATTACATCAAAACCATCAGAAAATTGAACACTCGCCTCCGTAAAGGACATCATCTGCCTGAAAGTCCTCAGCTTTGCTCTTGATATTGAACCACTTCTTGACCAACGTTTTGGGCCATGAAAGCTTCAGCAACAACAACATAGAGAGTAAGCAATGGCAGAACACAAATGCAAAGGAGTTTGAGGGAGAACTAGCTTTCAGGAATTAATCAAACCTTGCTTTTCTTCGAGTTCTCATCTCTCATTGTTGGGACAGCTTCATATAGCTTTCTGAGTTAATAACAACAGAAAACGATACAATAGTCCTTCCTTAGTTGAAGAGGAGTTAAAGTTGAGCAATGAGGCGAGCAAGCGTATTAAGACAAGATCAAAAGCTCAGCTCCCTAAAAACATGGGTTTCAGCTCAATTTCTGTTTCTGTTAATGTCTCTATTCAGAGACAGCGGGTTTGATGATCAAGGCACTTGGTAACTGAGAGAAGAACACAACCAAGGGGGGGCAATCCTGTGTTACTGAGTTAACGTCAAAAAAACAATTCAAGGAATCTCAGTTTGTCACCACTTTAGCCAATGTAGTACAAATCAGAACACTCACTCACATGGTAAGAAGCACAAATGGAACCACCCCACAATACTATAAGAGATTAAGAGGAGAAGAAGACAATGCACCAAACCAAAACCAAAACCTGGTTGAGGGTATATTAGAGAGCAAAGTATAGAATTTGAAGGGGAATAAAGTGGAGACAAGCTTCGCTCTCTCTCGAGGCCTTTTACCCCAAATCCAAAGCCAACCCAAGTTTAGGAACTTGGAGACAGTAGAGAGAGGCAATGGTTATATTGGTCACACACACACACACACACACACACACACACACTCTCTCTCTCTTTCTCTTCTCTCTCTATATATCTAAAAATGTGCACTTCACTCTACCAACTTGAGGGTCAGTAAAGTCATGCTTGATCTTATAATACCAAGCATGAGAAGTAGTACTATTAGTATCACATCCCATCCATTCTTAGTTCTTACATTTGGTCTTCCAGCGCAGAAAAGCAGTTAAAGGGATAAAAGTTAAAGAGTGTGCTTTGTTTTTTGTTTAATTTCTCTGGTTTTGTTTATTGTTTCTTGGAATCATTTACAAAAATATTCCTTTTGACTGTAACTGTATGTGTGTCTGTGTATACTTGCTTGCATATTATATTTATTATATTTATTCATTGTCCATCTTGAAACCATCCTTTTCTTTAATTTCTCTTTTTTGACGATTATATTTAAACTTTTACACACAAAATCTTAACTTTAGTTGTAATTTTTTCACTGTAAAAAAGCCTACAAGAAGTGTGATTCGACTGGTCACCCAAAATGAAAAGAGTCACCTACTCTACCTCGTTGGGAAAAACAATAATGCTAACAACGTGTTATTTGATTTTTTTTTATTAATGTATTTTTTATTATTACATAAATTTTATGTGAATTTTATTTAAAAGTGCTTAAGTTTATTATTTTTGTAAAATTAATATCACAATAAAATATATGTAAAATAAAACAAGCTTAAATATATTTTTTATCTTTATATTTTTTGTGAAAATTTAATGTCTCTCCATTTTTAAAATTTTAGTCTTAATTTTAAAAAATTATCACTTTAATCCTAAATGATAATATATTTCTACAAAAAAAAACAATTTCTTAATTATCCATATCAATATTAAAAATTATTGAATTTAAAAAACTATAAATGAAAAATAAATTAAAAAAATAAAATCTCACAAAACATAAGTATTGAAATATATTTAACTCAATAGAATATTATTGTTGTTTCTCTACTTAAATATAAGCCTTCGTGTAATTGCAAAGTAAGAGAGTTGAATGGTGTTTAAAGGAAAAGTGAATAAGTACTTCTCATTTCAAGGCTGGGATTTGTAACAGCTTTATTATATCATTTATTTATTTTCTTATTATTTTTTTAAGTTTTATAGAACAAGCATTAAATAATAATGTGCAGACATTTATTATCTTTAAAATATAAAATATATTTAATATTTTTATCTAATAATTAAAATAATTTGCATAAATAAAATGTAAAAAAATACAATTATTTATTACAATTTAGTTTTTTATATTATACAGTGTACAAATTAAAGCCTTGTAGAATTTTTCTTCATTTCTCTTTTTAAAAAATTGCTATAATTTTGTTCTCAATCTTGAAAACAAGACTATTCTAGAGTGGTTGAAGACTATTATCAATACATTAAATATTAATATTGTATATTATTTATTAATATAGAACTTAAAATCTATATTAACATTATTCATTAAATAAAAATTATCTATTTAATACTTTTTTTTATTAATAAATAATTATATTTTAAAAGTATTCATTTAATTTTAACTCATTTGAGTTATGACACAATAAATACAAGTCTTAACTTGAGGGTTGAAATATTTTTTACTTATTCTTACTTTTGTCTCCATCACTTGCATTATTGGTGAGGAGCAACACCAATTAACATATTGGACGATAGCTAGTACAAAAACCTAGTTGTATTCTGTAGTTTATATACATCTTAGGTTTGATTTCTTTGCCTTTCAGCAAATATATTAGAACTTAATGTATATTTAACTCGATTTAAAAAATTAGTTTAAGATTTATAAATACCATGAATGCATTTTTATCTTATATGAGATATTTTAAGAAGAATATATATATGTATGTATGTATTCTAATGTGGCAGTTTGTTCTGAGTTTATTTTAGTGTGCCATTTGATAAATTGAGAAAAATGTTTTTAAAAATATTTATTTAATAGTTTCGATTATTTAATAGTTTCGATTATAACTTTCGTTTTAAGTTCAAGAAAAAATAATTATCAATCTAATATAAATTATGACAAAAGCATGTGCTAAACACACTAATTAAGAAAATAAAAATATTGAATAATAGAATTATAAGTACTTCATTAAAAACACGAAAATATTTTTTTTATAAATAATACATAAAAGTTATCTAACGTTTTTAAAAATAGTTAAAAATATTTATTATATTAAAAATAACAATTTAAAGAAATATTATTATTAATTATTTTTTACTTTTTATACTTTAATAAAAATTTTATTGTTATTATTTTATAAAATAATGAATAATTAATATTATTACAATTTCTCCTTAAGTAATTAATGTTTTTCTAAAATCACATGATGATTCATATTTATTTGATCAATAAAAATACAGAAGTGAAATATTAATTACAAAGTTAAAATAATTTTTATTATGTGTTTATATTTTTGTAGCAAATATTTTTTAGTAAAAATATTATTCAAAGTTAATTTTAAATTACTTTAGGTGAGGCGTCCTTGAATAAACCAGTGGTTCACATTTTGGCATAAATGTAGGATCTTGTTAGGGCATTAGGGGTGTTCCTAAGCCTCCACGCGATCTCATTGGGTTTAGTGAAGTGGAACTGTCTACAAAATCATACTTTAATTTAATTAATGAAATATTAGCACTTAAGTGCTATCTTAATGGTCTAATCTTAGTAACATGGCACGTATGGGACATCGTGTCTGCAATTACTTAGCTTAAGATTCTCATTTTTCAATGATCTTTGCTTGTAGCAATCAATTATGTTCAAATTGCTTTGCTAACTAACAGAAATATGAATTGGTATTCAAGTCACTGGTTGGTCAAATATTCATCTGTCGGTTGTATATTAAATGTTTAACTTTAACAAATGTTACTCTCTCTTTTTTTTTTATATATAAAAAAATATAATTCAGTCCAACTAATAATAATAATAATAATAATTTATTAATAAAAGATATTTATTATATTTTTATATTTTAATTAATAAATGAATTTTTTATAAAAAAATATATATAAATGTTTGAATTCAGGTTTAAGAGCTAAAGTTAATAAATTTCTTTTATTAAAAAAAACACTTTTTTTTAACATTTTAACAGATATTTTATTAATTTTTATTATTATCTTATAAAATAAGTAATTAATAAATATGTTTTACAATTTTATCTTTATTAATTAATATTTATTTAATAATAAATAATAAAAAAGTGAGATAATTAATATAATATATAAAACTATTATAAAAATTAAATAATATATTTTATAAAATTTAAAATATTAATGATATTGTTGTTTTCTGTAAAAATTTAAACCTTAAATAAAAAAAAATAGATAAATGAAATAGTTAATTCATCAAAATTAATTAAAGAAATTACATATCGTGAATCTATAGTATAAAAATAATTTTAAAATATCTACAACATTAAATAATTGATTTAATAATTTATATATAAATAAATAAATTTATTTATTTTTATATATAAAAAATAAATATTCTATTAACTTAATTTTATAATCAAGAAAAGTATATAAAATTTTTAATAATATTATTTAATTTTTTAATTAAAAAAAATAATAATTATTTATTATTAAAAAACTAAAAGTAGTATAGCAGTTTTTATAACATAAGTGGCTGGTCAAATATTCATCTGTCAGTTGTATATTAAATGCGTAAAAGTTTATTAAATACTATAACAGTTTTTTGACATTCATTTCTAGAGTTGATTTAAAAAATAAAAATATTTATTTTTATTAAAATATTTATTGTACTTTTGACATAATAAATACTTTTTAAAAAATAAAAACATATTATTTTATTGCTTAAAATTAGTCTTAGAGACTGATATAAATATTTTTAAACATATACAAATACTTTATAAAAAATTTAATCTATAAAATTTATTATTATTATTATTATTGTTGTTGTTTTTCGTTAAATATGATTCATGGATTTATTGTCTAATAAGAAACGTTACTATAATAGTTTCTTTCAATTAAACCAATGTTTCAAAGAATTGGGAAAGAGAAAAATGATTAAAATAATAGAGTTGACAGCAAAGAAAGCTTTAAGGAACCCTAACTCAATCTTCCACTAACTGCCATATAAACCTATGCCTTAGCTCCAATTATTCATAGCTTGTCATGCCTTAGCTTATACATCTGTTCTCCCAACACAGACCCACCAGAACTAATTGGAGAATTTAGACCAATTATTAATCTCAATTTAGTATTATTGTTTGTCTAATCAATCATAAAGATTCCTCGATTTCGAGTTTGCTTATTAAGCTGTTGCCCATGTTCCTAAACAAAATCCATTTGTTTTTTCCCTTCCTTTTAGCAGTTTAGGAATCATTCACCACAATAAATTAAACAAAAAACTTTAACTTTGCAAATATAATTTTTGTTTAATATTATTAATACTAAGATGTTTTATGTTCTTCAACAATTCTCTTTCCACAATCTATTTTTCAAAAATATTTAGATTACTTTTTTTGAACATAATATTAAAGCATATTTAATTATATATTAACCTTTATAACCAATGTGGACAACCTTTTTTGAAATCATTGGTTATAAAGTATTTGTTCCAACTAATTTAACTAATATTTCTTTTTAATCCTATTGACTTCTAGAATGTAGAGTATCCTCAAACTATAATGTTAATTTGACACGTGTTTGTCAAAAGACAGCCATTAAGTTATTTATCAAAGTAAATAAAAGTTAGATAAAATATATCAATGCAAATCATATATTTTCATAATATATTTAGTTTGTTTAGACATTCCTTCTTCTATGAGAAATAACATTCTCATAATTGTCACAATCTCTAATTTTTTTTTATTCATTGAACAACCGTTACTTCATTTTTAAACTCTTTAAATTCATTAACGCATGCCACATATATCAATCTGAGATAGCAATGTCA